TCAAAACATGAAAGCTCATTCTCACTTTGCCAAAACTTGAAATTAAAACTTGGTCAACTGCCATAACATGCAATTTACCCTAAAAATAATCAAAAAATATTAAAGTAATATATAATTTGCATAGAAACTTGAAAACGACTTATATTTTGAAACAAAAAAGTTTCTCCAAAACGCCTTATATTTTGAAACGGAGGGAGTATAAGATAAGAAGATGAGAATCAAAAGTTAATGCATGCATATTTAAAAGTAAATAAGATTAGTTTTGTAAAATTAATTGAAATAAAATCAAAATTTAGTTACACTTTTACTTGAAAAAGAATCTGATAAAATTGGTATAACAATTAAAACAAGAATGAAATAATCAAAATTTGTAACCTACTCTAGTTTGAATATGAAAGATCTATCAATTGATACGTACGTGTCACGATTCCGTTAATTAAAATTTCAATACATGTCAAACTCATTTGAAAAGGAACCATCTCTATATAATAAGATTCTCTTTCATTTCTTGGATCTGATTTGTTGCGTTCCATCTAGTTTCTATACATATTTTCTTATATCTTTCATAACCACATCCATGGCATCGAGTCCCCGTGCATCTGAGGCGGAATCGGATGTGGACAACAAGCAAGAGGAGGAAAAGTATCCCCTTCACATTATTAACCTCATCCAGTTCATTAAACTAATTGAACTTTTGCAGAAGGGTGAGACGGCGAACGGCGAGGTCATTGACGACGATGAAGTTAGGATGAACAAGCGGCTAGAGGTTATGCTAGCTGAGGCAAAACATGCTTATACAACAAGTCGAAACGAATCTGGAGACCAGATCGGTTCCAACAAAACTTAGTCTTTGTTTAGGAGTTGTACTCCAACATCTTTGTGCTTTCAAAATAAACATAATAATGAAAAATCAGAAGAAGAAAAACTACCATTAAAAATCATTGTGTTCTAATTTATATATATTTGTTTCTCTTTTGTCAACTTGTATCATCATCTTTTTATTTTATTCATAAATTAGTTGTAACCCTATTTTACTTAAAAGTAAACGACGTACTAGACTTGAGGATGATGACTTATGAGACTGAATCACCGCGAAATTGAATTGCTTGCCAATCATCAATACTAAACATTATATAGCTGAGAAGCTTGTCATGATGTTTTTTGTCTAAGTATCTGGATCCAACCAGCTAATCTCTTTGATTAGTTTCCTTTTCTGTTTGCACCTTGAGATGTATGTATGATTTAACGTAACTTTTCAACAAGACCAACGAAAATAACATAGTCGTTTCTTGTTCACGGTATGATCAGACTATCAGAGCCAATTGATTTTATGACAAATATGTCGAATGAGAAGGCTACAGAATTTTGACCCAAAAAAAAAGAGAGAAGGCTACAGAACAAATCATTACACCAAAAATTGTTGGACCAATTGACTGCAAACAAATGTTTTGGTGTAGTTATCACTTAAGTTCAGTTCAATGGCGGTAACTTGACGAATCAGTAGAGAAGAAAGATGGTTTCATCGACGGAACAATTTCGAAACCAAAAGAATGATGTTGAATATGAATATTAAGTGTCTACCAATTCGTTGTGATTTTGTGGATACTCAATATTGTTGAACTAAGGGTGATTCATTCTTTTGCAAACAAGGAAGATCCACAAGAATTGTGAAAGAAATCAAGAATCCATTCTCTAAAGAAAATGGGTTTTAATTTGAAGTTAAGAAACGTTAAAATGATTACAGGAAATGTCAAAAAGTTTATTCTAAATTGCTTTTAGAATAAGAAAGTTTGCAAGTAGAATTCTAAAAGGTTGTTTATTGATCAGATAATGTAGACACAGTTGTAAAAAAAAAAAACTTATTTTCTTTATTAGAAAACTCTTAAACAATCTCACAGATTTTAATATAGCAATATATTGGGGGACAATCTACTGATTTGATCATGATCAATAACAATGCACCCGTAAAAAAAAAGGGTGTTGGAATGCTAATGAAAAACACCATTGATGATTTGATGATTCAATACAAGATGGTCTTATCTATAGATAAAAGAATATCAGACTTGGTTTAATTAAACTGTTGGAAACAAAACGCGAGATACTCATAACGTACGCTTTGTTTGGTCACTTCAAAAATTATTTTGATGTATATTCATAAATAAGTCAGGTGGTGGTATATATATTGATATGTAATTATGAGCAAGGAACAATTTCGACGATGATGTTTTTAGTGGAAGACGAGCATTAGCAGTAAAATATTTCTGACTCATTAGACTATACCCTTTCGAAAAGGTTGTATTGCACTTGCATGCATATCAATAAATTGTTATTAACCAAGTATAATCATTTGCGTGACAATAAAAACAGTTGATATCTTATAATAACATCCGAGATATTTATTTTAGATTAAAACCAACACTAATAAAAAATAAAATAAAAAAGATTACAAGAAGTGATGATGATGTGAGATTCCTCTTTTTCTGTTTTTCTTGGTTTTTCAACGTTGGAAAATTTGGGTAGATTAGATATATACTTAAGTGGAAATGTTGATTCTTGTTTTGTAAATATTATATTTCTCTAGTTTCAACTAAACCTTAACTCAATAAGCAAATTAGAGAGACGTGAACACAATGGCATTGCCGATTTTGCTTATAAAGCAAAGCGAGTACTAAACACATAGTCAGATTACTTAAAATACCTCGTTTCATTGTTCTCTTTCCTACAAATTTCAAAGCTACTTTTATAGTGGATCACAGGTCTGATCTTTTTGTTTCTTGCGTAATGGGTCTTGAAGTTTTGCCTATAAAACAGAGCCAATCAAAGGTACTAAACACATTCTACTCTTAATCACAATCCTTGTTTCATTCCTCTCTTTCTTATACATTTCTGTGTGTTTTTCTTCAATCAAAGGTACGTTTTTAGTTGATCGCTTGGCTGATCTTTGTTTCTTGCATTTTGGGTCTTGAAAAAAACAGAGCAAGCACCAAACACATCATATTATTACATACATTTCTGTGTCTTTTTACTTAAAATCCTTGTCCCATTCCTCTCTTTCCTATACTTTTCAGTGTATTTCTTCGATCAAAGGTACTTTTTTTTTTGGTTTTAAGTTGATCTCCGGTTTGTTAGATTGTTTTTTGCATTATGGATTTATGGGTCTTGTCTTAGTCTTGAAATTTTGCTACTTTTTGCTTATGTAACATGTTGTTTAATTTCAGTCTGGATCTTTTTTTTTTTTCTTTCTTGAATGTGCGTTGAAAGAATCTTTCCTAAGGCATTATATTTGTGATAATATCTGAAATCTTGAAGGGTGATATATAAGACTTTTGTTTACTCTCTTTAGTGTTTCCTCTCCGGTTTTAATTATTGTCTTAGTTTTGATAATTTTAGATGATCAATTGTTCTCTCAAGGATTTCTTATATTAATAAATCCATTTTGTTGGTGTGATTGTAGATGAGACCAGAAACTCACAAGATTATTATTGAGAAGCTGCTCCCAGTTATGAAGTTGGTTAAGGGCAACCTCGAGGGGGAAGTAGAAAAAAAAGGCACGGATGAGTTTGTGTTCTGTTTCGAAAACTGCTACACTGAGGAGGAAACTGAGAAGCACGTGACCCAGAAGATTCCTTCTTTAAAAGAATCGGATGTGAGAAATTTCTATCAGTTGTTTCTAACCATGATCGATAAAGATTCAAAAGAGGCGTATCTCAAGGATGCTGAAGATTGTGCTAGTGAAAGAATGAGTCAGGGGGATGATAATTCTGAGGAACCTAAGAGGCGTCAAGGTGAGGCCAGAGTACATCTCACAAATGTGAACCTAACTGCAGCAAAAATTATAAATAATACTATGATCAAAGGATACGTTTTCTAAATTTCTATATAACAAATAAGAGTGGTTATTGTGTTCGTTATACAACAAAAACAACGTTATGTTTTCCCTTTGTTTATAGTTGTACTCCCTTTAATTCCCCTTTGTTTAGGAATTGGTCTTTGTGATTCCAAAATAAAAACAGTGTAATGAAAAACCAAAAATAATTTTATATATCTAATTTTCATTTTATTCGTAAGTTGTAATTGATTACAACTCAAGAGACCCACTTGAGGATATAAATGCATACTTGATCTCTTATTAATGCACATTAATGTTTAAAATTGGCATGGTGACATATCTTATGATTTCATCTCTCGTGTTGCAAACTCATCACAAAGCGTTTTAATTAGTTTAGTGGTCCACGTAAAATTTGGGATGCATGAAATGAAAGAGTTTGCTTAAACTGAATCAGCCTCATCTCTTCGTCAATATTTTACTTTTCACTTTTTTGATAATCCTTTTTATTTAGTTTTCAAAGAGTGTTTAACTATATAACAACTTTATCAACTTTTCGTAGTTTTGGCATTTCTTGACGATGTAAATTTCAAACTATAATCCTTCCCATATATGGCATGCAAAGAGTGGTAAATTATGTACATCATTTTCTCACTCCACCAACATTTTTAACGTATTGAATCTCCCAAGACGTTGATAAATTAATAAACATGATTTTTATTTGTTTGAAAAAAGATAAATTAATATGAATTCCGAAGCTTTTTAAACAATGGGGGTGATTGTTATTAAAAATTTATTAATATATAAAAATCAATTCTGTTAAGCAATTACAATTTAATTTTTGTTATAGTGTATTCTATATAGAAGAAAAAAATTATATAGGAACAATATAGGAAAAATTATGAGCAAGGAACAATATAGGAAAAATTATGAGCAATACAATATTTCTAAGTCATTAGACCATAGCCTCTCGAAAAGGTTGTATTGCATGCATATCAATAAATTGTGACTAACCAACGTTATACAATATTAGTATTCGAGACAACAAAAACAGTTGAGGTTTTGTAATAGCATCCGAGATATTTATTTTAGATTAAAACCAACACTAATAAGAAAGAAAAAAAAAATTACAATTTACAACAAGTGATGATGAGTTTGTGATGGTGATGTGAGATTCATCTCTTTCTGTTTCTCTTGGTTTTTCAACGTTGGAAATTTTGGGTAGATACTTAAATGGGAAGGTTGATTCTTTTTTTGTAAATATATTTCTCTAGTTCCAACTAACCCTTAACTGAATTAGCAAATTAGAGAGACGTGAACACAATGCTTTGCCGATTTTGCCTATAAAGCAAAGTGAGTACTAACAACATCGTCGGATTACTCAAAACCTTTGTTTCATTGCTCTTTCCTACACATTTCAAAGCTACTTTTTTAGTGGATCACAGGTCTAATCTTTTTTGTTTCTTGCGTAATTGGGTTTTGAAGTTTTGGCTATAAAAACAGAGCCAAGCAAAGGTTCTAAACACATTCTCTACTCTTTCTTACAATCTTCGTTTCATTCCCCTCTTACCCATTCATTTCTGTCTGTTTTTCTTCAATCAAAGGTACGTTTTTAGTTGATCGCATGTTTGGGCTTTGTTTCTTGCATTATGGGTCTTGAAAAAACAGAGCAAATACTAAACCTTTATGTTTCTTTTACTTACAATACTTGTTTTCTTCAATCAAACATCACCTTACTAATTACACTTATGTGTTTTTACTTATAATCCTTGTTTCAATTCCTCTGTTTCCAATAATTTTCTCTGTATTTCTTCGATCAAAGGTACCCTTTTTTTAGTTAATCGTTGTTGGGTCTTGTCTTGATTTTGAAATTTTGCTACTTTATGCTTATGTAACAAGTTACTGGCTCTGTTTCATGTTTTTTTCAGTCTGGATCTTTTTTATTTCTTGTGATCTGCGGATGATTTTTCTGAGGGCATTTGTGATAATATCTGAAATCTTGGAAGTGGATAGACTTTTGTTTACTCTCTTTAGTGTTTCTTATGATAAATCTATTTTTTGTGGGGGTGATTGTAGATGAGACCAGAAACTCGCGAGGTTATTGAGATGCAGCTGCTCCCGGCTATGAAGGAGGCTACGGTCAAGCTAGAAAAACAAAGCATTGATGAGTTTATGTTCTGTTTCAAAAACTGCTACGATGAGAAGGAAACTGAGATGCACGTGACCCAGAAGATTCCTTCTTTTAAAGAATCGGATGTGAGAAATTTCTATCAGTTGATTCTAACCATGATCGATAAAGAGCCAAGAGAGGCGTATCTCAAGGATGCTAAAGATTGTTCGTTTCATAGAAGGAATCTGATGCGTGATAATTCTGAGAAAGCTAAGAGCAGTCAAGGTGAGGCCAGCACATCTCACAAATGCGAACCTAACTGCAACAAACATTATCCCGAAATATAAACAATTAATACTATGATCAAATGATACGTACGTTTTCTAATTTTCTAGTGTGCTCGCAAATAAGAGTGGTTTTAGTGTTCCTATGAAAACAAAATCCACGTTTATGTTTTCCCTTTGTTTATAGGAGTTGTACTCCCTTTAATTCCCCTTTATTTAGGAATTGGTCTTTGTAATTCCAAAATAAAATATAGTATTATGATATATATATATATATATATATATATATATATATATCTTTTCATTGTATTCTTAAATTAATTGATTACAACATCAAGAGACCCACTTGAGGAGCCTGTGTTTTCTTTTCGTCAAGGTCTTATGGAACCATTCTTGTGTGTTCTGTTTATGGAAAAGTTCTTCAACCAAAAAAAAAAAAAAAAAAAAATTCTCCCATAAACAATTCCTTGCTAGAAACGCAAAACAAATCTCACCATTAGTATTGGAATAAACAAGCAGTTATTGACCTGGACGGCTGGACCATACGAACAAGAAATAGTGTTTGATAATCACAAGTTCACAACCATATGCATAACCGGATTTAAATTCTGTTCATTCGGTTTTGGTTTAGTTTCTCGGTTTTTCTAAAACGCAGTACTAATTAATGGGCTTTTTTTGGGCCTATTACAAAGATAAACTGTACCACATCTCGACATCTCTTAGTCTCAAGTTGATTTTATCTCGTGTTGTAACTTGTAAAGTCTATCCCTAACGCATTTAGCTATATTTGATTTCTTCAGCTAAGGAAACATATGCCATTTATATTTGATGCATGAATTATACGTATGCCCTTTATAAAAAATTGGATGCATGAATTATATAGATAAATATCTTGTACCTATTTGTAAACTTTGACTAGAATTAAGCAAAAAAGCTTATAATATTTTCAATGTAAAATCATATTAAAAAGATTGTTAAAAACCACAAGTTGACATATGATATGCTTCACAAAACATATTTTATTAATTGATGCAACCAACATAACTAACATAGACTATGTCTTAGCACATTTTACAACAATAATTGTATACTATTGGGTCGAACAAAAGTAAAACTATAAAAACCATTGTAGAACTATTGCATCATTTTTTATCTTTATTCCATCATTTTAGAATCAGTGGGAACCATATTTACATTAATTTATAATAAATTATTTCGGCCGAATCCACATATATTCTACAAGATTTAAACGTGAATAATGACACGATGACAACATTAATACAAATCGTTGAAACTTTTACTAATCTATTTTCCTTTTGAATTTGTCTTGTTAAGAAAGTTTGTAATTTCCTCTCGAGATAAGATATATACAATCTCTTATGTCCAAATGTATGAAATTTGAGGTAGTCGTTACTTGTGTTTAAACCAACTTTACGACTTATATAGTAGTTATATATTTTTAACATAAAAACAAAATTATTCAAATAAATGTTTACAACTGTGCATGTAACTGTAAGATGATGTATATGAGTTATTGGTAGATTAGTTTCCTTTATGGCACATTCATACTATATACAATTCGTGAAAGAAAATGAGTTTGATCATGTATTTATATGTGTGGACTATTGAAGAAAATTTTATTTGCTTAAGGACACTGGCCGGTTTTTTGTCTGTAAACAAGAATTTCACTGTCACCACAGCTACAAAATCTTCGAAAGAGGTATTTGATATTGTTACAAATTAATGTTCTCTGGTTAAAGTTTATGTTGCAACTTTGGTTAATTGAATTTTGAACGTTGTTTTGCGATTTTTCTCAAAAAGATTTCTCATATGAATTTTAGTATTTTTTATTATTACTATTAACACCCGCAGATTGTGCAGGATTTAAGCTACTACGTACATGTTAAAGTTTTTTTTTTTCCTTGTGAATTACCAAAAAAGATAAGATGTTTTGTTTTCTACTATCATTTAATCAAAATAGAAAAAGGACAAAAGGTTAATCCTTCACGTAAATAGGTGTAACAATAAAACAAGATATGAGATAATTAATTTTATCGTTTTGAACTACTTTCCCAAAAAATTATAATTAGTAATTACACAGGTAAGAAAAAAATAACAGAAAATAATCTAACTAAAAAAGGACAGTTAGGTTTTAGAAAGGGGTTAGAGAAATGTGCCCATAAAAAAGACAGATTCAACATTTGTTTTCCTTTGGCTCTCTCTTTCTTGAGAAAGTTCCATATGTCCTGAATCTCAAAACCCTAATAAGATTTGCTCTGCACGATTCTGAATTCTATGATTGTGATGTTATTCTTTATTAATTTCTTCAGCTGTAAGGCTTTGAACAAGTCTGTAGAAATTCATTTTTTATTTTGAATTTTTCAACAGAAATACCAAAAAAATAGTTTATTTTTTGACATTATAAAGCCGGAGTCGCCGGCAACTAATGACAGCCGGAGGCTGTTTTGGTATCCAAACAACAATGTTGTTCGGTCGTAAATCATCAAGCAAGTTACAGGTAAAAATTCTTCTTATTTCTTGATTGATTATAGATGATTTATTCACATATCCTTGATTATATGTTAAATTTTCTTCATTTATTTTGATTATTCACATATATATCCATAAAACCCTTTTATATATTTGGAATTTATTCATATGATTCATAGAAAACTCTTAATAAGTTTCTTGTCTCTAGGAGTTATGGTTCCAAAAAGACATACCAAAAATTCTCATGTAGTCTTCATTTGTTCATGTTATAGATCATTTTCTAATTATGGTTAATAAAACTATGATAATGAAACATAAAAGAAATAACAAATTTTTCATAATCACGTTTCCAAAATGCAAAATACTTGATTCTGAATTTCTCTCTTTGTTTTTTGCAGCCTGTAAAAGGGCAAGCATCGCCTAAAGTTAGCAAGAATAGCAAGCAGGATGTTAAAACTTCTTCTTCTTCTTCTTCTTCACCTAAACCTTCTTCTTCACCTATACCGATTAGATCATCCAAGTCAATATTATCCGGGAGCAACTTAACATCATCAAGACGTGGTTCATCGCCTATAGGCATCCTCAAGAATATTTCTGTTAAAGAAGCTAAGAGCCCCAAGACGAGCAGCTCACCTAAATGGACAGGCAATTTTATTCTTATGGTCGAGCTTCGCAGGAAGATCTTTACCTTTAGAGACATCATTGATCTTTCTACTCTTGATGGTTCTCCTTCCATAACCGATGTGCGTAAACCGCAACCTTATATCCTTGTTTATTGTATCTAGATGCTTTACATGTAATTTTGACTCACTTTGTTTGTTTTGTTGTGTAGATGGTGATGCATACAATGAAAGATCTCCAGAAAATTTGTCCTGAGATCATTCATAGCTCCCATATAATGGAAATTAGACGTGCAAATGTCGATAAGGTATTCAAAACATGATCCGAATATATGATTTTTCTCTGTCCTGATATATGTTCATATTTCTTGAATCTGATCAAATGTTTCTCCCGCAGGTTCTTGACCATTTCTTTAGTGCTTTGAAATCCATTGGAGATTCGTGGATTGATAACCCCGAATGGATAACTAAATCCAAGTACTGGAGTAGCAGCGTCGGGAAGAATCAGTCCGATCGACTAGGTAACAAGAAACTCATCTTTTAAGTGTTAAAAATGTTTTGAATAGCAAAACTCTTTAAAATGTTCTGTTTTCTATGCAGTGGAAAAGGTGTTAGCTGCATTAGATGGACTGATTAAGATGTCGAAAGAAAGGTTCGATATGATGGAGATCGATGATGAAGAAGAGAAAAAAGAATCCACGAGTCCACAGACAGCTAAAACCTCGGGGAGTCGAGTTTTATCGCCATCCGAATCATTCTCCGATAGCAAATCATCATTCGATAGCAGAAGCTCGTTCTGCGGGTCACCGATCACGCCAAGATCAGTTCTACCAGAACCGATGATGGGTTCACCGGGAAGAGTTGGAGACTTTGCAAACTCTGCATCACATCTTCTGTGGAATATGAGAGTTCAAGCACTTGAGAAGCTTAGTCCTATCGATGTTAAGCGACTCGCTATCCACATCTTGTCACAGAAAGAAGCTCAGCAACCAAATCAAAGCAATTGTGAAGATGAGATTAGTGTTGTTGAAGAGATCAAGCAGAAGAAGGATGAGATAGAGAGCATTGATGTGAAAATGGAGACAGAAGAATCTGTTGTTCTTGATGAAGAACAAGATACTGTCATGAAGATTTCTTCTTTGGATTCAACATTTGAATCCAAACTCAATCCTTCAGAAAAATCTGAAAATTCGTCACAATTTTCACCACCACCGCCGCCTCCTCCTCCTCCTCCTTCATTATCCACTATAACAGCTGCATCTTTACCTTCTCAACCACCACCTACTCCTCCTCCTCCCCCGCAAATTACTGACGTGGCAATATCAATGCCACCTCCTCCACCACCACCACCGCCTCCACCAGCAGTTATGCCTTTAAAAGGCTCTGCTCCACCACCACCACCACCACCGCCGCCACTAGAAAATATGCCTTTAAAAGGCTCTGCTCCACCACCGCCGCCACCTCCTCCACTTCCAAACACTGCAGTGGCTCCACCTCCACCGCCTCCACCTCCAAGAACTGCAGTGGCCCCACCTCCACCTCCTCCTCCACCTCCAGGAACTACAGTGGCACCACCACCGCCTCCTCCTCCACCGATGCAAAACAGAGCACCACCGCCACCTCCAATGCCTATGGCAAATAGTGGAAGTGAGGGACCACCACCTCCACCACCTCCTATGCCTCTAGCTAATGGAGCAGCACCACCACCGCCACCACCTCCTATGGCTATGGCAAATGGAGCAGCAGGACCGCCTCCACCACCACCTCGAATGGATATGGCGAACGGTGCAGCTGGTCCACCGCCACCACCAGGAGCTGGCAGAAGCTTGCGTCCCAAGAAAGCAGCTACAAAGCTGAAAAGGTCAACACAATTAGGAAACCTTTACAGAATCCTTAAAGGGAAAGTAGAAGGGCGTGATCCTAACGCCAAAACGGGCGGCGGAAGCGGAAGAAAAGCTGGAGTCGGAAGCGCCCCAGCTGGTGGAAAGCAAGGAATGGCTGACGCTCTTGCTGAGATCACAAAGAAATCTGCATATTTTTTGCAAATACAAGCCGATATTGCAAAGTACATGAAGTCAATCAATGAGCTGAAGATTGAGATCACCAAGTTCCAGACTAAAGACATGACTGAGCTTCTTAGCTTCCACCGTAGCGTCGAATCAGTTCTTGAAAACCTAACAGATGAGTCACAGGTCAGCAACATTTGAACATCTTTTTACCATCACTTCTATATATATCCTCTGTTTTTGTGATTCTTGATTGTGAAAGTGTGCTAAAACTTTTAGGTTCTTGCGCGATGCGAAGGGTTTCCGCAGAAGAAACTTGAAGCAATGAGAATGGCAGTTGCATTGTACACGAAATTGCACGGTATGATCACCGAGCTACAGAACATGAAAATAGAACCTCCTTTGAATCAACTTCTTGATAAAGTAGAACGTTACTTCACAAAGGTAACTACTTTACTTTATTTAATTTCTTCCCTCAGATCCTAATTTCAACTACATTTTGTAACTTAAAGATCCAAAACTCAATGATTAATCAAACAGATCAAAGGTGACATTGACACTCTGGATCGAACCAAAGATGAGGAATCTAAGAAGTTCCAAAGCCACAACATCCACTTTGACTTCAATATACTTATTCAGATCAAAGAAACAATGGTTGATATATCATCAAATTGCATGGAACTTGCATTGAAGGTAACTAACTGCTAGCAATAATAAACACTTCCCTTCTCTTTAACCCTTTTGTTTTACTGAAATCTGATCGTTTCAACATTGAATTCACAGGAAAAGAGAGACGAAAAGCTTGTGTCCCCCGATGCGAAGCCGAGCTTGAAGAAGACAGTAGGATCTGCTAAAATGCTTTGGAGGGCATTTCAGTTTGCATTCAAAGTCTACACATTTGCTGGAGGACACGACGATCGCGCTGATTCCTTAACCAGAGAGTTGGCTCATGAGATCCAAACTGATTCTGATCAGAATCCATGATGATTCCATCATTTAGATCATATTCACAAGTTCCCAACTACTACGTACTCCTTTTTGCCATTTTCAACTGCTTAAAATATTGTTCCAAAATGTTCGATATCGAACAATAAAAGAGTTTATGCATATGTATAAGCTTTAAACCTATTGTTTTTGACTTTTGAATGTGTAATTTTGTAGCTCCCTCAAAAAAATTAGGATTTAGAAGTTTCATGGGAGCTCGGAGATACAGAATCTTTTGAGTGAAAAGGCTTTAAGAACCTTTTAAGTCAAGCAAGACCTTTTGTGTTGCCACAATATGTAATATTGTTTTGCTGTTATATATAAACTTTTTTCTTTCTTTAAACTTTTTTTTGTAAACTAAATGTATCCATTTAGCACTGTCAAAGCCATATGTCACGTATCGAAACACACTAGAGAAATTTTGTAAACTAAATGTCTCCATTTTGTGACACTTTCTCTAAATAGCTAGGTTGCAAATCATTTTGGAAATAATCCATCAGCTGATACGTCTCGTAAATAATTTCACATTTTTACTAATCTTCATTTCAAATGTATAATTGTATTCTGCCGAATTTTATTTCATTTACCAAATTATATATTTCTAACAACCAAAGAAACGTGAATAGAGCAAGATCCAAAGAAACGGCGATAATGTGGTCAAACAACCACTCTATCTGATAACAAAAACACGTCCAACATGAATTAGTATATAATGTATTCAAAATAAATAATTAATAACCTTATTATATAATAATCTTTAGTCCCTTATATAAGTTCCATCTTCTTCCTTAATAGCTCTGCAAAACACTTTTGTCCAAACTCTATCTTAGATAATGAAGGTCTCTAGTCGTTTGATCTCAGCCCTTCTCCTATTGTTCATGATCCTTGCCACAGGTTCTTATTCGTCTACATAAAAACTTACGTCAACATGTAATCATCTACATAATATATTTGCTAGTATTCTATTATCCATATTTTTTTTTTGGTTATATAACTATGATCCATATCTTGTTATCCGTCATTTATTTAGGTTACAGTTAATTATAAGAACATGTTTTGATTATATAAGCTTCTGGATATGTCCATATATGTGTACAGTATACACATGATATGGTCCATATTACATGTTCAAATAATCTGTAACGTTAACCCATGTCTTGTAATTAATTATAATTCCTTATTTATTTATAACGAATTTTGTGTTTGTAGGGATTGGTCCGGTCACGGTAGAGGCACGGACGTGTGAAACGAGTAGCAACTTGTTCAATGGACCATGTCTGAGCTCAAGCAATTGCGCCAATGTTTGCCACAATGAAGGTTTTTCAGATGGTGACTGCCGTGGATTCCGTCGTCGCTGTTTGTGCACCAGACCCTGTTGATAGATGATCTATCTTATATATATATAGTGAATATATATTATGAAAAACTTAATAATCTTTTCTATCTCTTTGATCATTTTCTGACTTTGATCCTATCGTTTGCCTTTGAAACAACAATAAGGAGGAGATCTAAAAATCTTTAAACCCTTTTGGTTTGAGCTTTCTATTATAGTATTATCTACCAGTGTTAAACAATACTGCCTTTTAGTAAGCATTTTCAAGTCTTATGACTTTTATGTATCCAATTAGATTGGACTTACGTATCTAAATAAAACATGATTACTTTGAATAACCCATGGTCCATGAGATTTTATCCCGAAACTCATACTAGTATGATTTTTCAAAAAAAAAAAAAAAAAAAACTATTGAATAAACTCATACTATTATTGTTATCTAAAAACGTTTAATGTTGCCAACCATATTTTCCAAATCGCATTGGAGTGATTTTTTTTTACCATAAGAACACCAAAACCTAGGTTACATGGAATCAGAAGCGGGTACGCGGAAGCGAAGCGTTTGGAAACGTGGAACGATTTTTATAGAAATTATAGAAAGTGGGTACGTGTTGGAAGCGTATATAAAAATTAATATATATATATATATATATATATATATATCTATATATATATATACATACATATATAATAAACATTAAACATTATATCATATAACAAAATTATAATTAACACACAAATCTAATACATAAATTCTAAATACCTCTCTATATTTAAAAATCAAATAGTGTACAGTTCAAAGTAAAAAATTTAAGATTATTATCTTCATACTCATTTTACTAATTCCATCAAATAAAATTGTTTTAATTTTTTTTACCGATAAAAACATCATCAAACTAAAATTTCTCGAAATTAATTTAATTAAATTAATCATTTCAACATCTCCCAAATAAATGATCCATGATGCTGTCATTTTTATAACTATGATATTTTTAAAAATAAAATACAAAATTAGTATGCAAAGTTAGTTTTGTTTTTTCTTTTGTTGTATTTAAAAACTATCAAAAATAATTTCATATTTTTATTTATTTTGTGACATCAAAATTTTAAAATAGAAGCGCAAGCTTCCGAAATAGAATCGTAAGCTTCCAAGGAACTTCCAAAATAAATTTTTTGGAAACGCTATGGAAGCGAGATTCCGAAAGCTTCCAAAAACTTCCGATTCCGACTAAGATTCTGAAGCGGAAAGCGGACCTCCGACGAAGCTTCCGTGCTTTCTAGACCAAAACTTGGTTTACCAAGTAAGTAAATAAAAATTTTAAATTTGTCTTATAATTTCATTTAACAATAATAACACGTGTCCCCTTCGTTCACAAGTTTCCTCTTCCCTTAGCACAGTGTGTTTTCGACTTCTTCTTCTTTTTCTTTTTTTTTTTTTTTTTTCGACTTCTTCGCGTCGGCGATATTATCAAGAAAGAGTGTGGAAGAAGAAGAAGAAGAGATTTTGAGTTTAGGGTTTTGTTTGTGTTGCTTTGATTTCGGCAGCTATGTCTTCCGTGTTGCTACTTCTTCTGGTGTTCGTGTTTGATCTCATAGCTTTTGGTCTTGCTGTTGCTGCAGAGCAACGAAGAACCACCGTCAGTTTCTCTCTCTTTACTTCTTCGAGCATTTCTTTTCAAATTGATTTGATTATTAGTGGGTTTCTGAGAAACCGTTTCTCTCTCAGTTTCACATCGTTAGATCTATATGCTTAGGAAGTTGGGTTCTTGAAAGTTTTTGGGTTTTGTGAAATTCAATTAGTTTGATAGAAAGCTGAAAACTTTGGGGCATACATGTTGAACCCGCTTTTGATGATCAGAGAGAAGAGATGAATTCAACACGAAAGCCTTCAAAGAGTTGAGATTTGTCCTGTTTTGTGTTCATTGTGTTCTTCCTGATTTTGTTGCAGTGGCAAATTTCTAGAGAATCAAAAGAATTAAGCTACTGTGTGTATGACAAGGATATAGCAACGGGTCTTGGAGTCGGTTCTTTCTTGGTTTTATTAGCGAGTCAGCTCTTAATAATGGTGGCGAGCCGATGTTTGTGCTGTGGAAGAGCATTGACACCAAGTGGGTCAAGATCTTGGGCAATTTTTCTCTTCATCACCACTTGGTAAAATCCTCTTTTCTTCCTGCACAATCCATGTATTATATCATCTTAGATTATACTTTTTATCTCATTGTTCTTAGTCGATATGCGAGTAAAACGGAATTGGCTGATGCCGGTATGCTATAAAGCTTCTACTAGTCATAGATGCGTACTAATTTAGACCAACTGTAAACTTGGATTTACGGCTACTATAGCGCATATGCTAAGATCAATGGAGATTTAGACTAGATTATTCGCTAATGCTACACACTCAACTTTTAAGATAAAAGAACTAAACTTTCTCTGAGGTTTCTGTATCTATGGTTGATTGTTCAAAGTGGCTGAAATTTGGAAGACTTCACCTTCCATTTGCACAAGTTGCTGGCTTGTTTGTTAGCTTCATGATTTCATCTACTCTAATAGCGGAAACTGATGGTTGATTTTTCTGTGCGTAACTTCAACTGATAACTTGTTTGTGTCATATATGAATGTCATGAGACTGGGATGATTGTTGCAGGGTTTTCTTCTTCATAGCACAAGTGTGCTTACTTGCTGGCTCTGTACGAAACGCTTACCATACAAAGTACCATGTCTACTTTGGGAACACTTCTCCTTCTTGTCGATCACTGAGGAAAGGCGTGTTTGGGGCTGGAGCAGCATTCATAGTGCTCACGGGGATTGTCTCCGAGCTTTACTATGTGACCCTTTCGAGGGCCAAAGACTTTCAGCCTCCTAGAGATCCCGGTATCCGAATGAGTAGCATATAGAACTTACACCGGCGCTTTAGATTTAGAATATTTTTTGTTATGATCATTGTTGTTATCATCTTAGGCCATTGTTGTTATGATTTTAGAATTAGAAATCTGGTTGATTTAGAATTAGGCCATTGTTGTCTGAATCTGTGTGTTCTTGTTTGTATATGAGAAATAGATTCAAGTTCTAAGCTGATGTGATTTATGTCTCTTTTGTACTGGAGATTCTGTGTTTTCTTGTTAGAGTTTAGCCTTTGGTCACAATAACTCATAAATTCTGTGTTATCTATATTACTATATTAGTTAGGGAAAATTAGATTGGGTACCACTTTTTCCACAAAAGTTTTCACTTCTACCACATTTGAATCCTAATTATCCTCCAACTGGTGAGATAAGGAACTGCGATTGATGTGACCTTCCGAAATTTCTGCCGTCTTTTTTCTCTCTCTTGGCGCATTGGTAACCGTTTTCGTCCCTCTGGCTGGTAAAACAAAGTTGTCCCCGAGTAAATCTAGATCTTTTACGGCTCTCTGGCAGAATAAAATAAAGATCAAGTTGTCCCCGAGTTAATCCAGATATCTGGCTGGTAAAACCACATCATCTGGCGATGGATAATTAAGAGATGTTGTCCCCGAGTAAATCCAGATCTCTGCAGGCTGGTAAAACCATATCATCTGGGATTCATAATAATAGAGCAAGCTGATGAAATCGGGGACAAGATCTAGACGCAACAGAGAATTTTCAATCGGGGACAAGATCTAGACGCAACAGAGAATTTTCAATCGGGGACAAGATCTAGAGACATCCATTTAATGTAGCCGCTCCCCGTTTCCCAACAGGCGTCTTACTGTAGCTCCTTCCCCTGACACATTTCTGACGCAGGCAAAAGGGTAAAATCGTCCAACCTCTACCACACAAACACCAAAAGTGGTATGGATGCTAAATCGATTTGCAATGTGGTACATTTGCTAGGATTTTCTAAAATTGTGGCACATTTGGCAAAATTCCCTATTAGTTATTTATTTTAATTTCCTTAATTAAAAAAATGGCTTGATATAGCCTCACATCAGCACATCAAAATATTTAAATAATTTTTAAAAAACAAGGAAGTATAAATCATATGCCATTAAGTTTAAGGATACAAAATATTTTTTTAAAAAATTGAAAACTTAATTTGATATAAAATCTTCTATAACACTAATTTCGAATTTCCTAAAATATATTTACCTAACTAAAACTGATATATTGGAAAAATATCAAACAAAATAGGATGCCATTAAGTTTAACAATACAAATATTTAAACAAGAAAATCTAAAAAAATAAATTTGATATCTTCAATAACATTAATTTCAAATTTTCTAAAAAAATATATTTTTTTTTCCTCTAGATTTATTATTTATTGCAAATTATGAGAACTGTTACATAGACGATTCTACAACTAACAATTCCTTCCGACCCTTATTAGATCCACGACAGACGCCACTTCTTTCACCTCCTTCTTCATGCTCTTGATGGACATTATCCTCTCTGCGTAGAATCATGGCATCTCATGCACACTTGCCTCCAATAATCTGCAAATATATTAATAAATCGCAGTATCTGGGACTCGAACTCCAGACCTCTGGATGTAGAAGCATTAATTAACCCTTGATCAACCAATGAGCCAAGGAGGCTTCCACCTAAAAAAATATATCTACCTAATTTTAAACTAATATATTAGAAAAACAAAAAATAAACCTAAATCAGATGCCATTAAATTTAAGGATACAAAATATTCAAACAATTAATCTAAACAATAAATTTGATAAAAATCAATAAAGATACTAATTTCTTTTTAAAAAATTAAAAATAAGTAAACTTATTTTTCAAGTTAACTCATCCCCCAGCCCCTTATAAATATATAAGATTCAACTCACAAAAAATCAGCCACCTTCTTTTAGAAATACATTTCTCATAGAAACGTACATAATTTTCATTTTTACAATGAATCAAACCTCTGGGGATGAAGAAACAGAATATTTTGATGCGATCCATGTTGATCTCTTCACTAGTACTATCTTGTCGAAATTGCCGGTAAAGTCTTTAGCTCAGTGTCGTTGCGTATCCAAGCTCTGGTCATCCATAATTCGTCGTCCATATTACAACATGTTGTTCCCCATCAAGTCTCCGGATCCACCGCGGATCCTTTGGAGCATCGGAAATGCAGGAGGGTTGTTCTTCTACTCTTCACCTCAGCCTTGTAACCCGGATGAGAACACGTCTCTTGTAGCCACACTTCATCATTGGACAAGTGGAAAATGTTTAACTATATCAAGTCCTCCTATTGGTGGATTGTTATGTATTGAATATCACATAAAGAATTCTTCAGGAGTGGAGGTAATTTCTAATCCCATAACGGGAGAGTTTTTAGCCTTGCCCAAACTGATAATAAATGAGGTTAAGAAAGAGTGGTTATTTGTCCATGAAACATTTTTTTTTGGGTATGATCCAATCGAGAAACAGTCCAAGGTATTGTGTATCACCTCGTCGCGTCGCTTACCTAAATTTGGTCAGTATCATGTTCTCACATTCGAGTCTGGAAACAGAAATCTCTTATGGAGAAAGACAGAATGTTGCACACTTCATTTTCCTAGATACGATATTAGGGCGATGTGCATAAGTGGTATCTTGTACTATGCAGCGGATGTCTTAACTAACTTTACCATCGCTTGCTTTCATGTTAGGTCTGAGAGTTTTAGTTTTATTGACATTGATCAAGATATACAAAATATGGGACATTCTCTTGATTTTATCGACTACAAGGGTAAATTAGGTGCTTCTGTTTACGAACTTTGCTTTAATACTTTTAAATTGTGGGTTTTAGAGGATGCAGAGACGCATCAATGGTCAAAGTATATCTACGAAATGCCCAATACATGGCTGAAAAAATTTAGTTCTATACATATTGCTGGAATGATTGGTAGTAGCGAAATCGTGTTTTACCCAGAGTATACACAAGATGAGTTCTTCATATTTTACTACAATCTCGAGAGCAACATTCTCACAAGAGTAATACTTGAAGTTCACTACAGTTTAGTGGGAAGTGTTATGTTAAGGCATTAGCAAACTATGTAGGTGATGTAAGACTTATGTAAGTGTTTACTTCTTCCAAAGTAAACTAATTATCTCAATATCTATCTTTGTATTTTATGTTTATTGCGTGTCTTTTAAAGTTAACATTTTATTTTTTTGGTTTTCGGATGGTTTAACATTTATATGGAATTTTGATTTATACAATGCTCAGATTGTTATATATGATGGTGATTGTTTGGTTTTGTTATTGATATGAAACTTATAAACATTATTCTTCTATTAGTATTCGGACATGCTAATAAAACTTTAACATTTTAAAGCTCAATGAAGTTTAAATTAACGTTTGGATATTAAACGTCTAAATAAAAAAAATTGACCCGAGAGAGTGCGTCTAGTAAATAACTAAAAAACCAGACTTTTGATGTACAAATTACAAAATACACATTGCCTATTTGTACGGCTCCTAAGAATGGCAGATAGATCAGCAAATCTGTATGTTCATAACACACACAGATTTGTCCTTGTCTCTCGTGGAAATATACTTTACATGTTTTAACTTAAATGTAAAGAAGAAGAGTTACAAAAGATGCAAGAATAAGACATGAGTTGATGAATGATGCTTCCTTCTTCAATCCTAAGTTTCTTACTCTCTCTGTTCCAAAGATGAACAGCGAATGTATTTTTGCGTAAATGCGTAAGCCTCTTCCGCAACCAGTTAGCCTCGGTCTCACTCGTCGGCGCTCTGTAGAATCCTTTGATTCTAGTCCAATCCACCGGATAAAATGCAGATGGTGGAAGAACTGAGAATCCCAAATCCGAAGAGGAGGAAATGTTGATTCTTGCAATGACTCTCGACACTAAGTAGGGACCGTTGTGGCCCCATTTGTTACCGTTGAAGGTTCTTGAGAATTCGTCGATGAACCTTTTAAGCAAAGGATGGTTCTTGTCGAAGATGAGCACCGCGTTGTTGAGCCTACTCCATTTTCTTGTAACCGGGTCAACTGTTTGTGCTCCGATTACGTTGTGGAGATTGCTGAGAGATTTGAGGATTATTACGTCTGTGTCTAAGTAGATTCCGCCGTATTTGTAGAGCAAGACTAATCTTAGAAGGTTAGAGAGGTTTTGCTCTAATGGAATCACTCCTGGACTAAACGTTCCTTTCTTCAATCTTTCAAACCATTTCTCTGCTGATGTATCTTTGAAGATGTATGCAAAATCAGGTTTAATTGGAAGCACTTTAAGCCCTTTATCTGTAAAGGGTTTCAAGATTAGGGTTCCTCTGTCACAGTCAAATGAGTTTGAGACCAAGATCAAACAGCTGTTTGGGTGAAATTTGAAGAGACTCTCTATGGTAAATCGCTCTCGATCACCGAAAGATTCGATGGAGGAGATCCAAGTCATGAAGAAGAGTGACTCACAAGATGATTTGGACAAGAAAGACTTGAACTTCGTCTTAAATCTCTGTCTTGATTTGACTTGTAACCGCTGTGTTATCTCAGAAGTTAACTCGGTTCTTCTCTTGAATCTCCTCGTCTTTCTCTCTGTCCTCGTAGACGAAACGTTCTGCTTCTGTATGAACCCTAAAGAGGTTTCTTTCACCACAAGCAACAATGAAGAATCTGACTGAGATGATGATGTTGATGTCTGATGATGAAGAATCTGAAGATGAGTTGGTGAAAGGGTAGATTGAATAGGTGAGGTTGGAACAAGATGAAGAGAGAAGACAGAGAAGCTGTTGTAGATTAAGAGAAGCATGAGAAGGAGACCAAGAAGAGACATGGGAAGACAAAAAACAAAAGAGACTATCAATCTTTTCAATCTTTGCACTAACAGAACTTGTTCTGTTCTTCTGCTCTGTTCCATCATTTGATTTCTTTTCTTCAAACAATTGTTTGCAAAAGACAGACTTGTTCTGTAAGAGATTTTTTTATTTTTTTCTAAGGCTAGAGGTTGTGTGTATTAATATTAGTGAGATCACCAATACAAAATAGTATTATAATAAGTGCGAATAGTATACTAAACTATCATATAAAGAGTGTGGTAGAGTTCTAGTTTTGATGTATCAAATTTCTAGAATTAATAAAAGTATTATTTTAGGTTTTTAGTTAGTTCAATAAGGTAACTAGCTAAAAATGTCAATTAGGACCAATCATGGTTATTCATAGAAACTCACAAGAAACAATCAGACTAGACCAGTAAGAAAAATATTATTCACCTTATATGATTCTTTAGTCAAAAGTAAAAAAACCAACAAGGCAACAATAACTTGGAAACACATGGAAGAGATAGTTTCCAAGCATAACCATGACTTTAATCGGTTTCTTGAGCAATTGAAACACTAATTATTGACTGACCATATGCAATAATAAGGTTGGTGGTTGAAATGTATTTTAAAACTCAAAGGTATATTTTATAGTATGATAAATTATTAATATATGAAAGGATTTTATTCTTGTAAAATATATGTGCATTACAATGACAGATATTGGATTTTAATGATAAGTCAACACTTCTCTTTGATTTGTGTTATGAGTAATTTATTTTTATCGTCCACGATCCATACACGAGCATGATTAAATAGTACATGTTACAAATTCTAAATATTTATTTTTGTTGTTATAATTTGTTAAAATTCTACAAAACAAAACTTATATTGAACTGCTCAAAACAAAATTCATCTAAGTAAGAGTAGCAAAGATTTAATTTTCTAATTTCATGTAGTCATACACTAATCAGGAGAATTCACACAAAAACGAGTACAGAAATATTTCAAGAAAAAAAAAAAACAAATTGATCTAAACATTTTGAGAGTACAAAAGAAAAATGTGAAGAGAAGAAGAACCAAGAAGTAGTTTTCAGAAGATAATGAAACACTGAGACTTGAAAAAAATCCAGAAATCAGAGAAGACCTCTCCTTCTCTTGTAATCACTAACAGTTAAAGTAAGGCCATGTCTCTTGCCATCGTTCTCTGCGACTCTGCATCCCACTGTTGCTTCGGTCACTTGCTTCCTCGCCATGAATGCTTTCTGTACTCCTTGAGGTCCTCCGTACTTCTGTAACGCCGTTAGGGATAACGACAATTCAAAGTTATGAAGCTGGTTATGTTCTGCTCCTTGACCGATTGGAGCTCTTGTGTCTATTAGCTTTCCTGCCTCTGCAGCTGCTTCTAAAGCTGCTTCTGTCGCTTCAACACCTGCTCCTACATCTGCGCCATTGGTCTCAACTGCTGCTGCAACCGCTGTCTCGTTCTCTTCTCCGTCTTTCCCCTTGTTTTTCCCGTTGTAGTAGTTCGATGATCGGGTCCATCTCCTTGAAAACGGATCATACCCAGCTTCACCGGCTTTGAGACTAGCGCTTATAGATTTTACCTCAGATGCGTTCTTGAAATTCTCGGCTCTGTTCTTCTTGTTCATCTCGGCAAGTTTAAGCGCTTTCTTATCTACCCCTTTCTTGTTCCGTGAAGCGTCGAGCTGTTTGATTTTAGTTTTGATCCTCTCTACACCTGCTTCATCGTTTTTGCTCTGCGCAATTTCCAACTCTTTTCTAAGCCGATCTTTCTCGGCCGCAACATTCATTGGCCTGACCGAGGCGGATTTTTTCTCCTGCAACATCTGTTTGACAGTTTCCGCAGAGTAAACGAAACTGTTTATTCTTTGGATCGCTTCTTTCTTCTCCGATATATCTTGCTTTGTGGGCATGCGACCATTTGTTCGCTCAACCTCTCTGATCCATTGCCTATACTCTTCCTCCAGCGGATGACCATCTGAGATCATAGCCATTTGCCATCGAGCCGCCGAGGTTTCATTTCCCCAGACGACGTTAAGGTACTTGTGTGTAGTTTTATTCTCTAGCTTGTAAGTCTTGTCTGGATCGGTTGCATCTACATTCTTCACCCAGCAGAGTCTGTAAATTGGACCACTCTTTGACCTTCCGATCCCAACCCTCACAAAGCACCCAACTATAAGCTCTTCAAAGAAAGGCTCCATTAGCCATTTGGCAAGCTTAGACCGTCTGATGGTAATTTCCTTAACATCCTCAAACGTAGGCACATCTGACCTGTCATCATCACTGTCTAGCATTCCTGCATTCGAGCCTTCATCATCACTCTGAGACCTACTATCACTGTCACTTTGGCTGGAGCTACTCAAATTGGAGGAAGCTAACGGTTTCCTCTTCATTGATGAGAAATCTCGACTCCCTGAACCACCTTTTGATGCATCTCTCAGTTTCCTGAGAGCAGCTGGGTCCTGCTGCTTCATACGCTTTGCCCTCAATTCGTTCAGGGCATCATCCTTAGCAGCGGCTCTGTCTGCAGATCTAGCAGATGAACGCACACCACGAGAGGCCGGAAGAGGCTGGGTCTCCTTTTTAGAAACAGGGGTTTTCTCATTTTCTCTCTTGGACCTAAGTTTCTCAGTGAAGTTCTTATCACCTTTCTTATCAGCACGTTCAGCCAGAATCATCTCTCTCTGAAACTCTGTCATTCCAGCAAGCTTCTGCCGGTCTTCCTCATTCTTGTAAAGGTCATCCCCAAAATCAGACTCCTCGCTGCTGTCACCTTCACGATCAGATGGTCCATCACCATAACCACCTTCAACTCGAGCAGCTCGATCTTCTCTCTCTGCCTCCAATCTCTTCTTCAAAGGTACTTGAGACCCAGACGGTTTCCTACTAGCATAGCCGCGATCTTCATCAGAATCATCCCTTGAATCGCTACTACCATCAGAGTAAGAACCCTCACGTCTCCTCGATGATGGAGGATGGCGACTCCTCCCTGCTGAATTTGTTCTCCCAGCAGCTTCCAAAAGCAAATTCTCTAAATCACCCATAGCATCAAAGGAAGCTCACAAACGAGAGTTTCTTCAACGAATTTAAATGGTTCTCACTATCACCTGAAAATGATTACAAATTCACAGTTAGAGCAGCAAAAACCATATTTTAAATTCTAACCCTAGAGAAGCCATTATTAGGGTTATGGACAACTTTTTCCCCCAATTAAGCTCCTTGTTATGGAGAGATTAGATAGATAAGCATCATCATCCCTAACTAATTTTCCCTTTCATTCCCCAAAAAAGCTGCAGATAGGACTCATGTTCTGCTTGTTTCATCAGAAGACTAACCAATTGGTGTAATCGTGAATCAGGTAACGGTGAGGTCAAAAGCCAAATCGCGGTTTTGCAAAAACCTATCCGAGTTTCTGAGGTTAATCTAGTGAATTTAGAGACGAAAACGATTGATTTCTGGTATGGATCTTAAATTCGATTTGAAGAGGTAAGGACGGCGGAAATAGGGAACCCCAGAAGCCGTTTGAGGCGGAGAAAAGGAAATAGAGAGAGCAAGGGGTAAAAAGAAGAAGAGAAAAGTACAAGGAAACTCACTTGAGATGAGACGGAGAAATCGCAGGAAAGTGTTGCAGAGATCGACGACGGGCGGCTAATGGAGGAGAAGGAAAGGAACGAGTAATGTCGAATTGTCGAGAGGAAGCTGATGATGAATGAAGTAGAAAAAACAAAAAAAGAATAAAATATTCTTTTAACAAAAAAACCCTTGGGCTTAAACTTGAAGGTTCAAAATTTTGCAAAACTATGAATTTATCAAATTTTGATGTTTTCTTGCTAAATAAATGATTTGATATATATCAAGTTGTAAAAATGATCATTTAACATTTAAGAAATTCGTGGGAAGAATAAACGGTATTAACGACCCTCTCATGATTCTTATATCTAAAAGAATTTATATCTTATTCATAGGAATATGAATACATTTCCTTAAAAGTTTTAACATTGATTATATTATTTATAATTAAAAAATTGATATGAATATAACATCATTACATATAAAATACGAAGATACCGAATTTCATGAACATTATTTAGTGTAAAGGTACATCTATGATATCATGTTACTAGAACAACTTACTCGGCTTGTTTTACACATCAAAACAAATGCAAACTAACTCATCAATATGCTATCTTATCTCATTTTCCATGATTAGATGGTTAAACGGTTAAAAACCAACTTTGAATCTAATAATATGTTTAATAATGTATGTCATGTATTTTTCTAAGAACCCATTCATTAAGATTTTACCTTAGTCGTGTGAATTATCTTTATAAGTTTTAGGAATTTATTTTCCAACACTTTTAACTATCAATTTTTTTTTTGTCATCTTCAATGATGCACTCGTTGCCTCTCGACATCTACTTTGTTTTCAACACATATCATAACTATTTTCTCTTTAATTACTATCTTTCAATACTCTATTTTTTGGGTTTAAAATATTTGATTCAATTGATGAAATATCAAACTTGTTTTTTTTTATAATGTTATAAAGTTGTAGTTCTACTTGAGAATATGTTACAAAAAATTACATATCACTTTTTTTAACGGCTTACATATCATTTTTGTATATTTTGTTGTAGAACTTATGAATAATGTGATCATTGATTATTTATTTTCTTAAAGATGGATGCTAATGTTATAAATTTTCAAGAATTTTTTTTTATAACTTCACAAGATAAAGTGTGACTCTTACAATATCTTTGTCTTAAAGTATAAATTTAAGTTAACTTTAGTAATCTTTTATTTTTTTAAAAGGAAAAATTTCAAATAAATAAAAATATGTAGTATATTGTTCTTAAAAACTAATGTTTCACTTTAAATTTGATTTTCTTGTTTAAAAGTTTACATATAGAATTACATAATTTAGTTTTATTCTACCAAGCATTTAAAATTTACCCTCTAAAACTCATTAACACATTTTAAAATTTGAAGTATGATCATTTTTAAATTTTATCTGTTAAAAGTTGAATTATATTATTATTACTAATAAAATTTTCATAGTATTATTTTTATTATTTTAACATCTCATTTATTTTAAATAATTTATTTTTTTTTATTTAAATTTTCTATTGATTATAAGCAACATAAATAAGCACTAAATGAATGTTTTAAATTCATTTTAATGTGAAATAAATAATATTGTTTAGGTGGACATCTTAAATGGAGAGATAACTCTCTAATTATATATATAGATTAATGTCAGAAAACGAAATAGTATTTCTAAAAGTTAATATTTAAAAATCAAGTCAACAAAACTAGGATTGAAAATCTTTTTTTTTTAAATTAACTTTGATCCGTTATCCGTTTTGATTCAATCCAAAAAGTTCAAATGTCCGTAACTCTATTCAACAAAGCAAAAACTAAAAATCAATATTCGTTAAAAAGGGAACAAATCACATATACGAAACTTTTAAGAGATTACATATATATATATATATTGTATAATTATTATCTCTATTGAAAAGAAG